TCAGGTGCAGTTGGATCCAGAATCTGAAATGCTCCAATAGGACTTGGTCTCTCCTGCTTGTTGCTCTGACCTCCTTTGCTCTGGCCCATTCCCAGGCAGGTTCTCAACAGCTGGCCACAGCACAGCGCAGATGCAGCCTACAGCCTCCCTGTGTGGGCACACCTGGATCACGGCCCCTCCCTGAGCCAATCACCGAGGCCAGGGAGATACGGGGCTCTGATTGGCCAGACCCCGCATATGCACCCAACCCTGCGCAGTAGCTGCTCTCCTAGAACTGAGAGTAGGGGCGTGCAGTCTCCAGGGCAAACTGGCACGGTGAAGACCTAGTACCAGGCAGGGAAGAACAGCAGGCATCTATCTCTCTAATGAAGGTTGAGCGAACCATGATACAGATATACCTAGGTAATAGTATGGCCCATGAAGCCAGACAGCCTGATCCTCACCATGACATCGGCGAGACACTTAATCTCTTTGTGCCTTGGTTTGCTCATCTTCAAAGCAAGAATAGTAAGGACTCATGATTTTAGGATGGTTGTGAACATTCTTGAGATCATGCCAGTGACGTGCTAGGCACCGCATCTGGCACTCAGCAAAGAGTTTGTAACACAGGAAAATGTTTATGTCAAAACATTGTGGGAAAAATCAAGATATAAAAGATAAAGATATAAAAGATATAAGATATAAAAGATATAAAAATATAAGATATTAAAAAAGATAAAAATCAAGATATAAAAGATATATCACATACACTTTGATCTCATGGATGTAAAAACAAGCAGGCAAACAAACAACAGTCCCCCAAATCAGACTGTTGGAATGACCAACAGGAAAGAAGCAAACTCTCCATGGGGGCTGTGTCAGGATACAGATATTATTGGACTTTTCCCCTTGTGTTTTCTAAAGTTTCTATAATGACAAATTACCACTTTTAATTTAAACTTGTTACTTGGAAAAAGTATTCCCCTTGTCTGCAAAAAACGATGAAAACAGCTAGTACTTGCTGGAATTTGTCAGGAGTTCCGAGGCTGATTGTCGGATTTTGAGATCCAAATTTAGTCACAGTGTATGGTGATAAAGGCCTGCAAGCTTCCAGTGGAGACCAGGCCAGGCTGACCAGTTTCCTTGGGCTTCCTCCAGGCCAGCTTTAGGGCCCAGATTTCTGGGGGTGGAGTCTTGCAGCAGCATCAGGAGTAGCAAGGGAAGGGAGAAGGTGGAGCTGCTCAGGCCTGCTTTTCCCTGCATGCTAAATCAGGGACACCTGATTTAGTGACACCAAGTTTTGGGAGCAATGGGGTAAGAGTAATGAAGTTTCATTTATGAAGCTGAAGAAGTCATGATTTTCCTACTTTTCTCCATGAATCTTCACAACAGTGCTGGTCTCCTCATTTTACAGATGAGGGAACCAGAGTCCCTTCAAGGCAGAAGTAGGATTGAGCCCTAGATATGCCTGTTCCAGAGCTAAGGCAAAATGTGCCTCGGAAATATATCATTCATTTCTACTAGGTCAGGGGATATTTTCATAGATCTTATTTGATAATCAAGACTTTTTTTTAAAATAAAGGAAGGAGAAAGACCATGTTAATCTAGACTTTTTGGGTTTTAAGAGATTGAAAGCCAACTCAAGAAAAAAAAAAAACTTAAGAAACAACTCACACAACTAAAGTGGTCCACTCTTGCTTCAGGAAGGGCTGGATCCAGGGGTTCACATGATGTCATCAGGTGTCTGCTTCTGTCTCAGTTCTGCTTTCCTCTGGGTTGATATCACATCATTCTCCATACCTCTCCATACCTCAGAGGGCAGGCTCTCCCTCTGTGGTAACCAAGATGTTCTCCAGTGGCTCCTCATATCATACCAGCTTAGTGACCCTTTAAAAGCCTTTCAGGAGAAGTCCCAGGGTGTCTGTCTTTTGATCCCTTGGATCAAAAGCCCAATTCCTAAATCAGTTTCTGCACATACCCACACTTGACACAAAACCAAGTATGGCATGGCCTTGCCCTCAAGGACCAACCAATCTAGAGGGGAAGGCAGACTCATAAACATATTCAGAGCAGTGTGGTTCTACAGCTGCTAGGACAGATTGAATCCAAGGCATAATGGCTATAGACCATTTAGTGATATAAAAACATCCTTATTTTTTCTGACTGTTCAGGCTTTCACTAATGCCTGGGTCATGCTTCCTGGTATATATCATATTTCCCTTCTGAGGCTTCAATGTACAAAGCCTGTGCCCTGACCCTCACCATCCTGCTGCCCAAAGCACAGCTAGCCTCAGAGGAGTTCTATATGGAGACTTCTCTGTCCTTTATTCCCTAGGTTCCTGCAGGACAAACAAGAATAATAAAAATCATCTAATGAACACCTACTATGTGCTAAGGTTGTCCATGACATCTCTAACTCCTCACTCTAGCTCTCTGAAGTAGGTCCCATCATTACTTCCATTTTACACGAAGGAGGGGCACCTGGGTGGCTCAGTCGTTAAGCATCTGCCTTCAGTTTAGGTCATGATCCCGGGGTCCTAGGATTGAGCCCTGAGTCAGGCTCCCTGCTCAGAGGGAAGTCTACTTTTCTCTCTGTCTGCCACTTTCCCTGCTTGTGCTCTCCCTCTCTCCATCGAATAAGTAAATAAAATCTTAAAAAAAAAATTAACACCCATTTTATAAGACGGAAAACCAAGACTCAGATGAAGTAACTTTATACTTAATGTACATAAGCCTCTCAAAGACAAAAGGATTTCTTGTCTTTTTTTTTTTTTTTTTGTATGTAATTCCCAGGATCTAGACTCAATAGTTTTCAAGGGCAAATGGTCCCAGAACATATGCACTTGTGATTTCACTGACCCCACAAACAGCCCATCAGATAGATATTATAATCCCATTTTACAGACAAGGGAAGAGAGGCTCAGAGAGAGCAACAACCTGCCTCAAATCATACAGCTGTGAACTGTGGAGGGGTAATCTGAACCAGGTCTCTTTCCACAGCATCGCAGTTTGTGGGTAAACTGTCTGAAGGGGGCTGGGGGGGGAGGAACAAAAGGAGGGGGAGGAGAAAAGAGAAGAAAGGTGGGGAGATGAGGGGAGGGAAGGAGGCTGTGCACCTAGAAGGACAAAGGGAGAAAGCCACCCAGTCAGGGACATACACAACAGCCACCAGTCCAGTTCCAGAGCCAGAGAATCTTCCCCTCTCCCTCCAGGCTCAATTCTCCTGGCTCTTGGAAGCTGGTTCTGGATCCCACACAGGGATGTGGAAAACATGAATATTCCAGGCATCCACAATGGGAACAGAGCCCCGACCTTGGCTGTTAAGTACACCCAAGGGAAGCTTCTAGAAGCCCAGGGGCAGTGGCATTGACAGAGTGCCTGCAGCAGCCCAGTCTGCTTTCCTCAGCCCCCTCCCCTCCTGACCTGGCCAGGGGTGACCTTCCTGCCCGACAGCCCTCTCCTCCTCCATCCAGCTGCCCAGGTGCAGAGGGCCTGTTTAGGAGTCTGCAGGGCTGACTGGAGGTCACACCCATACTTTGCCCCAACAAGCAGGGGCCCCCGGGTTGCCACTCATCCTGAAGCTGGCAGGGCTCTAGCCTCTAGAGTTGTGCAACGGGAAGCCCCTTTCTCTGTGCCTCACCCCCCTGCCTCTATCAGGTGGGGCCTGTAGGACCATCCCCTCAAGCCCGGAGCAGAAGGAAGGGAGGCTGATTGTGGCAGAAAGAAAATGTCAACGTGGGGACCTTTGCCCATGGGAGGCTGCATCCTGGCAGCTCAACTTGGAGCAGCTGTTTCCCCGGTGTTGGTGCCTAGTGGGGAGGAGTAGGGGGGTAGGAGGTGAGGGGGTGATGAGAGCTCACAGGAGACCTAGAGCCTGGGGGGCAGGCCTGCCTCTGCTGTGGGATCTTGGACAAGCTCAGTTTGGGGATCTTTGAGGTCTCAGCCCCCTTGCGGATTGTGTCAAGATGAACCATCCGAGTCAGGAGGTGGCTGGCATGTAGGAGATGCTCAGTCTTGATGGTTATTCTTTTTCCCAGTATCATAGGCTGTGCTCTATCACTTCGCTACTTGGTCCCACTACTCCCCCACCCTGACCCTCTGTCCTCCTGAGCCCCCTGGGCCTCCTTCCTTCAGGCCCTATACTGCATCCGGAGTTGGCCCCTTCGTGACATCGTTAGCAGCATCTACAGGTGATCAGCACAGGATCTACCAAATAGTAGAACCTTGCTGTTTATGTCCCCCTCCCGGGTTCAATTTCTGGCATCAGCACACCTCCTTCCTACAAAGAATGAAAGTAAGGGGCAATCAGATGGTGGGGCCTGGCCAGGCCTCTGAGTCTGACCTGGCCCCTCGCCCCTTGCTTGTTTTGGCTTCCCATCAAGAATGCTGGACCAGGCCTGGGAGGCTGACTGACCTCAGACTCCAGAGGGAAAGTCACACTTCTGCTCAACTCCCAGGAGCAGCCCTTACATTCCAGGAGGGGCGTGGGAAGGGCCAGGCCTTCCTCCTGCTAAACTGAGCAGGGAGCTGCCTGCAGCCTGGCCATGCTCACAGCCTCACACGGGCCATGCCCACCTCCAGGTCCCCCGGGGAGATCTGTCCCACTATGGAGGCATGGAGGGGGGGACGTGGAGGTAGAAGATACACATTGCCACCACAGGACAAAAATGGAAGAAATTTCCCAGTAAGATGTCTCTGGCCTTCCCCAGTCACCTTGCCAGCTAGTGCTTTCTCCCTTCTGGTACCACCCCCCACCTTCAAAAAAAAAACCAGAACCCTCTGCATTGTTCTGAGCAATTCTAGTCTCCCTTCAGCCTCTGCCCCCTCTGAGAGGTAGTTCCAGGCAGTCCTAAGGGCTGTCTAGATTTGACTTCAGGGCCATCCCTCCCAGCCCAGACTTCCTGTCTTTCCACCCTTGAGCGGGGGTGAGGGGGGGTGAGGAGGGGGAGGGATAGGCAGGGTGATGGGCCAGGAAGGGGTTTCAGCTGGAGTTGTTTCAGTTGGCCTTTGTTAACAAAGGCCAGAGTGCTGGGTGAAGTTTCCCTGAGCAAGTCACACAAGAGCTGGGCCTTGGTGGATAGCAGACAGTGAGCAGAGACCGGCCCAAGCACGCTCTGCAGAAGGGAGCTGCTCCAGTGCAGAGGATTCCAGGCAGCATGCTGGAAGAGCAGACCAGGGCCCGGAAAGAGGTCCCCAGGAGACACTTTCCTTCTGCTACAACCAGCCTCTCTTCCTCCAAGAGGATCCTGGGACTGCTGGCTAGTTGGCTCCTAGGTGGGTTTCCTCCCACAGGCCAGGCTTCCCAAGCTCCAGATAGGGCACAGAGCAATGGAGTAGCTTGGGCAGGGGGTCAGGAAGCAGGTTGGCCCTGGCAGGGTCCCATCCCCTTGGAACAACGAGCTTTCCCCTATTCTCACCTTCCAGGCAATGAACCTACAATCCAGAGGTCAAGAGAAGAGGGCTTTCTGGGCTCCTTCTCTGGAGGGTCTGGCAGTTTCTTCACAGAAGATGGAGCACTGTCGCCCTCTTGTGGTCCTAGGAGAGTGCACAAAGACGTGAGCAGAAAGAAACTGCTGGACAGGCAGTCAAGGTCTGTGTGCTGGATGAATCCACTGCCCCCACCCGACCCTTAGCAAATCCTCGAGATGTCACCAGATGACCTGGGAACCCCAGCTCCTGCGAATGGCCTTGGAGATCCAGGTAAGCTTGAGGACGACAAGTTAGGGTGACACTATGGGGCCGAGGTTACCTCAGAGTCTGGGGTCAGGCTGAAGCTGTGGTGGGGAAGGACTGGGGCTGGAACCAGGACGGCTTCCTTCCCCTAGACCCTGCAATACCAGGAGGTTGCTACCTGGCCCCTAACTCTGGGCCCCACTCAGGCCACTGATCTGACTGGCTCGGTCTAACACCCCCCCCACCCCCACACAACCCTGTGTCAGGCATATTAAAATTAAACAAGTAGGGAAAAATACAATAAAAAGAAAATGAAGACATAACGCTGAGTGAGATGAGCCAGTCACAAAAAGTCAAACACAGCATGATTTTACTTACATGCGGTCTCTAGAGTAGTCAAGTTCATAGAGATAGCAGAAGAGAGGCGACCAGGGACTGAGGGAGGGTGGTGGAAAGTTAATGGTTGATGGGCACAGTTTCTGTCTGGGAAGATGTTCTGGAGATAGATGATAGTGATGGCTACACAATGAAGATGCACTTAATGCCACTGAAATGTATGCTTATAAATGGTTAAGATGTGGGGGGCACCAGGTAGCTCAGTCAGTTAAGCAGCTGACTCTTTGCTTTCAGCTCAGGTCATAATTTTGAAATCATGGGATCGAGCCCTGCATCAGGCTCTGTGTTCAGTGTGGAATCGGCTTGAGATTCTCTCTCTCCTTCTCCCCTTCCCTCTGCTCACTCTTGCTCCCTCTCTCCAATAAACAAATAAAATATTTTGTAAATGGTTCAGATGGTAAATTTTATGTTATATGTATTTTACCACAGCTTTTCATTTTCAAAAAAACACAACATTTTATTTATTCATGAGAGACACAGAGAGAGAGAGAGAGGCAGGGACACAGGCAGAGGGAGAAGCAAGCTCCATGCAGTGAGCCCGATGCAGGACTTGATCCCGGGTCCCCAGGATCACAACCTGGGCCGAAGGCAGGCGCTAAACTGCTGAGCCACCCGGGCTGCCCTACCACAGCTCTTTAAATTGGAAAGAAAAAAAATCCTCAATTATAGATGAGGGTAGTGCTGCTAAAACTGCCTCTTTGGCCATTGGGAGGGGGTGCCTCCCCTAAACTTGTGTCCCAGTTTTCTGGGGTTGCCATAACAGAATACCACAGACTGGGCGGTTTAAACAACATAAATGTATTTTTCTCACAGTTCCAGAGGCTGGAAATCCAAGGTTAGGGTGCTGGCAGGGTGGTTGGTGTGTGGGTGACTTTCCTCCTGCCTTGTCATCACGTCCTGGCATGCTTTTCCTCTGTGCACATGTAGAGCAAGAGATCTCTGGTGTCTCTTCCTCTCCCTATGAGTACACCAGTGCTACTGGACAAGCCCAGCCTTACCACCTCACTTAACCCTTCTTATTTCCCCAAAAGCTCCATCTCCAAAAGCAGTCACACTGAGCGATCAGGGTTTCAACATATGAGTCCTAGAAATGTCATTATCATGGTTTAATGCAAGAAGGGTCTGGACAGTGGGAAAAGAGATCTGGCAAGGCGAAGTGGCCTTCTAGAGAGAGAGTTGGCCGAGGGGAGCCCAGCCTGGGAGCAAGTGAATCTAACAGCACACATTCGGCCTCACCAAACTCGCCACTAGGGGGTGGAACAGAACCGGATGCAGATGTTAGAGCAGAGTGGTCAGGAAAAGTCCAGGAGGATGTGGGAGCCCTGCTCTACCCTGAGAGGGTCAAGGGAGGCTTCTGGGAGGAGGCAAGTCCTGAGGAGCATCTTGAAGGGGGCACAGATGGTCTCCAGGTGGAGAAGAGGAAGAAGGGTTTTCTAGTAGATGGAACAGCTTCGTACCAGTGTGGGTGACTCATCAGGCCAATAACAGCAACCAAAAAAGTCTAAGAAGGAGCTGGTTTGGAGAAGACGTATACTGCACCTTGAGGATAGCCTTTCAATATTTATTTTATTTTTAAAAAGATTTTATTTATTTATTCATGAGAGACACACAGAGAGAGAGAGAGGCAGAGACACAGGCAAAGGGAGAAGCAGGCTCCATGCAGGGAGCCCGGCTGGGACTCGATCCTGGGTCTCCAGGATCACGCCCTGGGCTGCAGGTGGCGCTAAACCACTGAGCCACTGGGGCTGCCCTCAATATTTATTTTTTAAATAGTCCTTGTTTTTTCCCCTTCTTCCTTTGCATAAAATAGAAAACACTTAAGCCCTGATTCACCTGTTAAGCCTCTCCCCAGAGCTGTGGTTTTCCTAATAAATTGCAAAATTGCCCAGCTAATGCTAAGCAGTTAAATCAGATTAAATCAGGACAATGAGTCTCTAAGGGCTGTTTATCATTCCCCATTTATTTGCAAGGGAAAAAGGAGTTGTGTCCTGGCTGGGGGCTGAGAAGTGGGCTCTGGTATCTCTGTGACCCCAGTAAAGTGATTGGCACTTAGCTGTTACCCTTGGTTTCTATGGTAACACAACAGGTATGCCATAGCCCCCAACTCCCTAGAAGACCTCTCACTGCAGGACCCGGGAAGAGTGAAATTGTGAGACCCCCAGATGGCCTTCAAGAGCCCATCCAACTGCTGCTGGAAAGAACAGTGACCCTGTCAGGCTCAGGCTACCCCCTCCTTCATGGATGAAAGAGAAGATGTGTGGCCCACCCCAACTCTGCCCGTCTCTTGCTCCCCTACAGTTCCTACCCCTCTCACCCTGACCCTGCACTTTGCCATGCCCTAGCCAGAGTAAGCCAACTTTATGAAAGTGAAAGGCTCTTACTTTTTAAATATTAACTGAGTCTCCTTGACCCCTGGCACTTCCCTCTCATACCTGGGATCTCCCCTCCCCTCTACAATCACAGGAAAGATGCCACAGGACAGAAAGCAAATCAATCGTGTGCAAGAGCTCAGCACGTAAGTGACGCTCTAGGATCCATCTGGATCACCATACGGATGGAACGGACGATTGGCTCTTGAGTTTTATCCCCACTTCCCATCAATATCCTGGCATGATACAGCCCCTGGAACTTGGCCATGGCCTTGGGGAAAAGGGAGGGAACCCCAGTGGAATGGGGTCTCAAGGTAGAAATGAAGTTGTGAGGAAAATAAGCCCACTGCATGCATGCCTGGGTTTATGGATTGAGATTCATACCCCTTGTGCACGTGCTTCCCTCTCTGCCCCCACTCCAAGTGCATGCACTCACACATTTTGCCTGGGTCACACCTACTCACTTGCTTTCCATTCAGACCTCATAGTTTCCACATGACCTCCTCCAGAAAGCCTTCCCTGGAAGACCCCACCCTTCACGTCCACACCACCTGGCTGGGTTAATCTGAACTAACTTGCTTACTTCTCTGTCTCCTTCGGTAGGTAAACCATTAGCTCTTGGGGGCAGGGAGGAAATCTAGTTTACTCTTGTATCTCTGGTGCTCAGAGCAGTGCCCAGCTCTTAGCAGGCACCCCCAGATGTCTCTCCACTTGAACAAATGGAGGTAGGTAAAGAAGACAGACCGTGGGAAGGTGTCCAAGAGGGAGTTCTTTCTGATAGCTGCTGAACTTGGCTTCTCTTAGCCTGGACCGTGTGGACCACAGCCTCCTAAGCTTGAACACTTTCGAGAAACCACCCTAGAACATCGCTAATTCTTCTTCCATCTTCTGAATCAGCAGCAGAGAAGAGAGATCTCCCCTTCTGGAGTGCACGGCCCTCCATATTTTATACCTGTTAGCTCTTCATTCAATAACTTTCATTGAGCCTCCACATGTCCCAGGTATAGATGGCCCTTTCCTTCCTTGTACTCTTCACCTCCATGATATTCCCTTTGATACCTTCCACTCTGGTCCCTGACGTGGACACCCATTTTTTTCCTGCCCAGGCTTCATTCCCCTCCTTTTGGAAACAGCACCTCAGTGTTCCTCAGGGGACACATCCCACCCCACCCCCGTCCCTGTGGATCCTGCCAGCTGGCGTCACTGCCCTGGCTGAGAGCTGTGCACACAGCCTGGCCGGTCAGGGTTTCCCACCTCCTCCTGACCTCACCCCACCTTGTCCATTATCCACATAGAGGCTGCAGGGAGTTTCTCAAAACGTAAACCCAATTACGTAATTCCTCTGCTTAAAATCCTTCAAAGATTCTGCCATCAGGCCCAGAGCTCCTCACCAGGGCCCGCCAAGGCCTCGCCACATCAAAGCCTCAGCTTAAATGTCACGTACTCAGAAATACCCTTCCTGACCACACCATGCAGATATCTGTCCCAGCACCCCGTTTTCTTTGTAGCATCATCACATTTTGTCGGCTTACTTTCTCTCTCACCCTATCAGAAGCTGGGTGGAAGCAGAAACAAGTCTATCTTACTCATTTTACCCCCGGCACCTGGCACACAGTAGGTGCTCAATCCAGCTCTGGGGAAGCTGTGGACAGTGACCTGGGGCTGGGGAGAGGCCAAGCACACAGACGTGCTGGGCCATCACAGTGGTCCAGGCCACAGATGGAGGTGGTCGGCACTCAGGGGGCTGGCAGGCCCGATTTGGCCCATGGGTCATAGTTTGTGGACTGTGCTGTAGGGAGATCAGCTAAAAAGGAAGGTATCAGTGATTTTGAAGAAAGGGATAATCAAGTGAGCAAGGCTTCTTGAGAAAGCCAGAGGGGATCCAGAGCCCAAAAGGCTGGGTGGCTGTGGTGAGAGGACAACATCTGCTGTGTGGCAGGAGGGAAGAGGGGTCTACCACGTGGTAGGTTTGGTGGTGGGAATGTGAGCTTTGCCCCTGGAGAACCTCTATTATTCCATGAAGAATGAGCCGATTTCATCAGCTGCGAGTAAGGGAGAAGTAGGGGGCTTGAGAAAAGACAGCGGGGGGGAAGCTGTGTTCTCAGAATGGGACAGGAAACCTAGAGAACCACGGAGGATTGCAGGGCAGCAGTTTCTAATGATGACAGGGTCCCTGGAGGGCAGTGGGAGAGAAGGTCACTGGAGGTGGAAGGGGATGAAGCTCAGGACCTGGGTGGACCACTCCCGTGAGCATCCAAGTCC